CATGTACAGCAGATTTGCACAAACACACGCCGACCTCCATCAAAAAGAAGAAAACCCTAAACCCTAAACCCTAAACCCAAAACCCAAAACCCTAAACCCTAAACCCCGCACGCCGCGCCTTTCGCACAAGATCGAACTCGATCGTTCACGCACAGGGAGGACCTTGAGCCAAGGGTCACGACCTGAAGGCTTGCCGGCTTTGAGGGTTTGAGGCCTAGGACTTGGTACTTAGACTACTACGGTCTCCGGGGCTTCTGACGTGTTCGTGCTTTAGGAATTTCCGGATTTGAGAGGAAGGGAAGCAGTAAGGACTGCAAGCTGATGTAAGATGTGAGTGTTTTGAAACCTCACGGATCTGTGGGATTGCTGTTGCTAGTGCTGTATATGGGATTTATGTTTGTGTACACGCACACGCATACGTAGGCATACATGTAACGTATGTATGTATGTATGTATGTATGTATGTACATATGTATGTAACTATGTATGTAACTATGTATGTATGTATGTATGTATGTATGTATGTATGTATGTATGTATGTATGTATGTAACTATGTATGTAACTATGTATGTATGTATGTATGTATGTATGTATGTATGTAACTATGTATGTATGTATGTATGTATGTATGAATGTATGTATGTATATTTGTATATGTGTATGTATGTATGTATGTATGTATGTATGTATGTACGTATCTATGTATCTATGTATTTATGTATTTATGTATGTGTATGTATGTGTATGTATGCACGCATGTATGTAGGTATGTGGGTAAGTATGTATGTATGCATGTACATACATACACACATGCAGACGCACACAGATACAAATGACGACTGCAACCACACCCACACAGATACACAAAGACTAGCATACATAGAAACACATACGAAGTGGTGTAAATTTGCATGCATCAGCAAGAACGATCGATGCCACGACAACAATGCTACTTTCGGGTGAGCTCTGCATTGTGGCACTCTTTTTCGCGACGAGCAGGTTCCGTCTTATGTATCTTTATTTGGAAGGTGCTCTACGGCTTTGGATTTCCTTTTCTTGGGCTGGCCTTCGCTATGGAAACTGTCGCTGTGCCTTGCTAGGAGTATGGCAACTAAGCCTCGTATGAATCAAGGTACTTGCATTATGAGCAATCGCTCGTACTCTCACTGCTCAATTTTCGAGCTTACCGGGGTACTCAATTGCGGTCCTTGGAATCTTGAACTAGATTTAGGACAGAGGTTTGCGATGCTGCTGAGGCACTCTCCCAAATACTCATATATTAAATACGGTCATACAAACTCACGACCGACAGCAGCCTGTGTTTTGCCCTATAAATTTCAACTCGGATGCCTTCTTGAGCATTTCTTCACTGGGCTCCAAGGAAGGTATATAGCTAATTTAAAACAATCGGCCATGCTGTGCCGCCCAAGCAACTGGGCAAGTGATCCGTGCAGACAAAGCCTAAGCTCCCAACCCTCAGCAAAGACAAGAGCCTGGTTCTGGGGTGTGAATGCGGGTTCAGAAAATCTGAGACATCCATATTCACTGAAACCTCCGCAACACACTAGGAAGACAAGTCGGTATACACCTACCTGCCTGCCGGCCTGCCTACCTACCGACATACCGACCCACCTACCTACCTACCTCCACGCATAGATACACACATGCATGCATGCATGCATACCTACCTACGGACACATCGACACTCAAACAGACGCAAATACAGACACAAATAGACACAGAGGACATCGAAATAAATAAATATATATATATATACACACACATACAGACGCGCACACACACACATAAATAAACGCGCGCGCACATGCATGGCACATACACATACTCACAGACATGCGCATATACATATTCCATACACAGATAGGTCTAAAACATGAACAGATATGCATACACAGCTACACCCGCCGAGGTCCCTGCAGAAAGATCTTCGGGGACCCTAAACCCTAAACCTAAGTCTTAAAAAACCCTAGACCCTTAAACCCTAAATCCTAAACCCTAAAAACCTTAAGGCTGAGGTCCCTGCAGAAAGATCTTCGGGGATGGCATGCTCCGGAATTCGCTTGATCTCTCTCAAGACCTGCGCCTGGATCCGCTTGAGGGTCGCGCCGTAATACAGGGGCCTTACTATTTAGAAGAGAGCTTTGGGGGGTATAGTATGCTGTAGTAGTCGTAGTAGTAGTAGTAGTAGTAGTAGTAGTAGTAGTAGTGGTAGTAGTAGTAGTAGTAGTAGTAGTAAGGAGCCCCCAAAATAGTATTGGTAAGTATTAACCCCCTATACTATGTGATACATCCCTGCATCATCGCCGTCCACTCATGCGGCAGGGTGCTTCTAATGCACTCTACCGAGCTCGCTGCCGGACGGCTGAAGACGGGATTCTGCAATTTATGGTGATAGGGCATCGACTGCAATGGGCAAGGCCCACAAGGGCACCAGGGTTTCTCCAAATGTGGCATGAACAACAAAGCAAGGTCTGCTTCTTGAAATATAACTTGCTGCCTTTGCTGAGAAGAAGTTGCAGTCTCCAAGGTTCTCTTCTTCCCAAAGGGTCCAAGTTATAGTATGGCATATACTTTGGGGGCCCAAATACCTACAAAGTAGCTACCAGATTAATACTTGGACCCTTTGGGCTTAAGCCCCACAACATGATACCCTGAACGGCATCTCGCCCTGTATGCGTCAGTGAAGCGCGGCGCAACCGAGGCGCGGGCAAGCTGAGAATGAGTACGGCTGCAGAAGATGATCTGAAGCTTGTTCTTGTAAGCCTTCGGTACCGAGCTTTTCGGTTCGATAAGACTCCGGAAGAGAGCAACCAAGCATACTTGTCAGCTTTTCCCGCCCCCCTCTGTGTGTGTGTGTGTGTTGCAGAGATTGTTTTAAATTCCGCCGACGGGGTGGCGGGTTGGGGTTCCGAGTGCGGGGTTCCGGGAAGAGCTCCGGCAGACTAGAGACGGAAAAGCCGGCATTATGTGTACCCAAAGCCAACTCTACTGATCCCAGAGGTGGCTTTCGGCTGAATTTCGGACTCGCGCCTTGGAGCCTTAATTCCAGAAACGGCATGATCACACAAGTAAAGGGAGAAACCCTTAGGGTTTAGGGTTTAGGCTTGTGCTCGGCTGGTTGTTTGGTCTTTGCCTTCTACTTATCTGCTCCCCTTCCCCCTGTTGGAGCTCGCGGAAGAGATCTCAACTAAGGCATGTTGGAATCCTTGCGTCTGGGTCTCGACATTTGGCATGGTCCCTAAACCCTAAACCCTAAACCCTAAACCCTAAGTCCTCACTCACGGATCTGGTCCCCAGCCTGACTTCCTTTAAGGGGTCCTTGGATCCAGAGCTTCAGGGGGCCCCACGTAAAAACAGCGGAAGAAGACTGATTAGGGTTTAGGGTTTAGGGGTTCGGGTTTAGGGTTTAGGGGTTAGGGTTTGGGTTTAGGGGTTAGGGTTTGGGTTTAGGGGTTAGGGTTTGGGTTTAGGGGTTAGGGTTTGGGTTTAGAGGTTAGGGTTTGGGTTTTAAGGGTTAAACAACAAACACCCAAAACCCTAGACCCTGAATGCACTCTCAGGAAGGCAGGCTTTGAACTTTTGGCAGGAGCCCCCACACACACACACAGTGAGAGAATATCTTCCTGCGCTTAACCTTGATCCCTGAAATCCTGAGCCCCTGAACCCCAAGCCTAATCCTCAACTCTGAATCCAAAACGCTGTGCCTAAATCCGAAACCTTGAATCTGGAACAATAAATCCTAAACCCCAAACCCAAACCCTGAACCCTGAACTCTAAACCCTAAAACCCTAAAATCCTGAACCCTAAACCCTAAAACCCTGAACCCTAAACCCTGAACCCGAAACCCTAAAACCCTGAACCATTAAACCCTGAACCCAAAACCCTAAAACCCTGGAGCCCAAACAGGTCTCGAAAGGAGAACACCAGCGTCTTGTGCGGATTCACCTCCTGACGGCTGCTCTCTGATGTTGCCAACGGCCTCGCAGGGCTTTGCCAGACATACCTTCAGGGTTTAGGGTTTAGGGTTTTAGGGTTTAGGGTTTAGGGTTTTAGGGTTTAGGGTTTTCCGGGTTTAAGGTTTAGGGTTTAGGGTTTGTATTATGAGGGTTTGAAGCCCCTACCCATGGGCCCCACTGTAGTTCCTTTTGGGGGTTCATATTTTCGAACCCTATAAGGTAATCCAAAAAAGGAACTACTATGGGGCCTATGGGTAGTGACATGAGGTAGGAGAGAATTGAAGTACTTGAGGGGTGGGGCTTAGGTTCAAAGTGTTTGGGCTTGAGGTTTAGAGTTTAGAGATGAATATAGGGGCCTTAATACTTAGAATAGGGTTTTGGGGCCCATCATACTATAATTATATCAATAAGGAGCCCCCGAATTTATGAGGGCGCATGAAGTGCACATGATCGAGAGGGTTCACGGTTTACTTTGGATCTGGGGTGCATGGTTTCGCCACTACCTGCAAAACGGGACGTGTGCCACCCGAAATATCTGAAGCGACTTTCTTCAGCCGCCCCAACTTCGCACTTAAGTTGTTTGCGAGGACATCATACAACTGGGACAACTGCAACGAATCGAATGGTGCAATCAAGGAGCCCAGCTTTGAGTGACGATGGGAACCCCTTATGTGGCCTCCGATTTACCTGCTGAGTCCATGTCTTTGTCGGCAATCTTTAGTAGCCCCCTTGAGCTATAGGACAGCGCAAAATGAAAAGTTTACACAGCCGAAACACCTGAATCAAAGGCCCGAAATGCTGAAATCTAACCCACATCTCCAACACAATACATCCAAAAATCCACGCCAAAAACGCTGGAGCTCGAGCCGGTTAGCATCCCATGGCTTGCATGGGCATGCTTTACACTACAGGAGCCAGGTTCGTGCTTGGGGTTTAAGGTTCGGGGGCTGTGGGGACGGTGGCTCAGGGTTCAGAACACACGGAGGAAGTTGCAAGGTATTGATGTCCTTGCAGGCACCGTTCGGAGCTGGGCTACCGCAAGGAAGTGGTTTAGGCTTTAGGGAGTTGGGACTTCAACAGGAAGCAGAGCATACCCACTCATGGGCTAAAGACAGTTTGACTGAACGTCCGGTCTGGGTAGCTCGTTGTCTGTACCAAGCTGACGGCAGTTCACTTCCTTGACAGAGCTGGACATTGCTTCAGAGGAGGACGCATGTGGAGGCAGCTTCGCGAACGAATGTGTGTTGCTCTGCCCAGATGTCTGGAGGCCTCTTTCTCTGCCATCCTCCCATATCTCTTTGTATCTCTCTCTTGCTCCACAGTTAACCTCGCTAGAAGACTAGACGTGTGCATATATAATATGCGTATAAAGAGGTACAAAGAACAAATATATATATATATACACACATGTATATGAAAATGTATATAAATATATGTGTGTGTGTATATATATATATATGTATATTTGTATATCTATTATTTCTTCTAAGTTCTCAACCTCACGTGCCAGAGGCAGACCTTGTCGTTGGAAGCTCTGGCTGGGGCAGCCGCAAAGGCGCCTCTGCCGGGAATGGCACTGCACTTCAGGGCAAAGGGTTTCATAGGGTTTAGGGGCTCAGGTGCTGATGATCTGAAATCTCTCATGTGCAGCGAATCTTCAGTTTGCATAAGTTTTGAGGGTGCTGGATGTCCGCCGGACTGACTGCTTATTGAGGAAGTTGCCGTCAAGGATCTTCAGAACCTCTATGGTACGTGCTATCTCGCCTGGGCTACATTATTTAGTTGAGCGGTTGGGAGCTCCCGGCTGCAGGTTTGGAGCTTGAGGGTCTGAGGGTTTCAGGGTTTAGGGTTTCGCGTTTAGGGTTTTGGGGTTTTGGGGTTTAGGGGTTTAGGGTTCAGCGTTTAGGATTTAGGGTTTAGGGTGTAGGGTTTAGGGTCAGGTCTATGGGCCCAATGCACTCGGTGAGTGTATCGATGCTGGGTGCATGTTGCTTCGGGGTCACTCACCAAAGCCTTGACCTTCTACTAGGGGTAGATTCATGCTTAATGTGTGCAGGTATGTCCGCCTACGTCTGTACATACTTATGTAGGCATATAGGTATGTAGTTATGCGGGCATGTATGTACGCAAAGTCTGTGTATAGTCCATGGATCAGGGATTAGAGTCTAGAGTTTAGGCGCAAACAGCTATTACAGAGACAAGATTTCCTCAAGATGAAGGGAGAAGAACATGTTGGGATCTAAGGATTTTGTGTCACGGTGTGGGTCGCTAGCATACCCCCCACACACACACATGCACACGCACACGCACGCAGACAAAGGAACCCTATCCCAAACCCACTCTCAAAAACAGGCTGGGCTTTAGGGCACACCACTTCCCATTTGGGGTTGGGGGAGTTGAGCGTGAAACTGGGATTTAAGGCTTGGGGGGTTCAGGTTTAAAGGTTTAGGGCAGGGCTCAGGGTGCCTCCAAAGATAGCTCGGAGTCAAAGGCAGCATCAAGAAGCTGCCTTGTGATCCCACGACAGGCGGGTGGTCTAGAGCTTCAAGGAACCCTTGGCGCCGTTAGGGTTTAGGGTTTAGGGTTTAGGGTTTAGGGTTTAGGGTTTAGGGTTTAGGGTTTAGGGTTTAGGGTTTGAACCATATTGTTTCGGTCCTCGGCATCATGAGCCCTGGTGCTCTTAGCCCCTGAATGGATGGCTTTAACCTCTAGCCACGTGGAACCGTAGGGGTGTCCTAACTCTTGAATAATGTCGGGTGGCTGTTGTGCTGTTAATTTTTGTTCGAATGTAGTGTACGGAAAGCAGGGTTTTTCGGGTGCTTGAAATAGGGGTCCTTACAGCACGGATTCAGTTTACATGAAGGTCCCTGATGCTGTGAAATTTCATGTCACGAATGTCAAGTATAAGGCCATGTGGACGACGAGGACTGCATTGAAACACACTTACCGTAGATGCGAATTCTTGCTTGTGGCTGTGGGGACCTGGAGAACCGACTATTGCAATATGGCCCTAAAGACCCATATGTACTTGAAACTGGGGACTTGACCAATCACGCCGACTAGATCAAGTCTTCAGTGGTCCCTAAACCCTAAACCCGTGTTTTTGTCCTGCCTCCGGCTGAACGATGCAACCCAGGGGGTCTGAGTAGCAACCCATTCTATTGTTCCAAGCTTGAACTCGGACCTTCCACAAACTCCCTTTTAAGTAAGGAAAGAACTGTAGCAGGATCCTGAATATACAGTCCAGGGTTTAGCTTCGGGCTTAGGTTTTCAGGTTTCGGGTTTAGGGTTAATCTGATTTAAGGTATATTCCTTCATTAGGGGATATTGGAAGGTCTGGGAACAGCTACACTGCCCTCTGCTCCTAGATTGACGCAGGCTACGTTCGCCATGGTGCACGTCTTGGAACCCGTTTCCCATTGCTTCAAACATGGAGCTGCTTCATTAACATCCTGAATCATTGGAAATGGTCAAACGCATTCGGAAGAGTGCCGATACAAGTGTAGTTGACGATACCCCTGAGCCCTGTTCTATGTAATATAGGGGCAATAATAATTAGAATAGGTTTTTTGGGGGGGTATCTTATACCATAGTTATACTAAGGATCCCCTGAAACCCTCTTCTAATTATTAAGGCCCCCCCCACATTAAACAGGCTGCTGGCAGCTTGGGCTGCTTCCGGATTGTTCCCTCCCACCATGAACCGATTTAGGGCCTTAGGGTTTAGGCTTCGTACACTAAAGACCCAAAATTGAGGCCCCACCTTAAAGAAACAACAACAAATCGAGGCCGTCAGCCTCAAGTCTTGGGACCCTGTCACTAATCTCGAAACCTTAAACCGCACGGTGCGTAAGAAAACGGATCTGATGCTCAGGTGAGTTTTTAGAAAGCCCCCCCTACACCCGCCTTATCCAACCATATGAGGGATCCACAAGGGTTTCACCAAGGCTGTCTGGGTTATAAGGTATAACCAAGGACCCTGGCACGGACCTTAATTTATTGCAGCACAACCCCTTGTTCTCTCAACCCGATGCGCAGCGAGATCAGAACGTTCGTAGGCCCTTACTGACAACCCGTAAGCCTAAACTGAGCCCTAAAACCCTAAATACTAAAGCCCTAAACTTCGAAAGCCCTTCACCCTGAACCCTAACAAAGCCCAACATCTTCGGATCTGCACGTAAGCTGTAAAACTTACACCTCTAAGACATAGTTAAGCCTATGGCCTTTGCCGTATCTACCTGCCATACTTCAGATCGGTATGCTTATGCTGTTCATTGTCTTGCCTATTGCTCCTGTCAGTCTGACTACTACTACTACTACTACTACTACTACTACTACTACTACTACTACTACCCCCTCTACTCTTATTCTTATTCTGATGAGTACAAGCATTACCTTTTGCTCAGCTCCCTGCGCTTGGGCATGTAAAGGCGCGGCGAGCCTGGTCCGAAAAAGTAGGCCCATTAGAGTTTAGGGTTTAGGGCTTAGGGTTTAGGGCTTAGTAGGGTTTAGGGTTTAGGGTTGGTCCATTACCCAGAGAACCCAATACCCCTTATCTAAGGAATAAACCTTAAATCATAATCTTAAGGCCCCTATTTTTTAAGGTATATTCCTTATCTATGGGGTATTGGGTTCTCTGGGTAGAGTCCAGGGCTCTAGGGTTGTAGGGTTCAGCTTGAGGGTTCAGGGCTTTAGGGGTTTAGGGTTGTAGGGCTCAGGGCTTTAAGGATTTAGGGTTCTTGGTGTTAGGAGTTTAGGGTTCAGGGTTGTAAGGGTTTAGGTTTTTAGTGGTTTCGGGTCTAGGGCTCAGGGCTTTTCGGGTTTAGGGTTTTTGGTTTTAGGAGTTTAGGCTTCAGGGTTTTAAGGGTTTAGGTTTTTGGGGTTTCGGGTGTAGGGTTGAGGGTTTTTCGGGTTTGGGGTTTTTGGTGTTAGGAGTTTAGGGTTCAGGGCTTTAGGAGTTGAGGGTTCAGGGGTTTAGGGGGCTCAGGGTTTAGGGTTCAGGGTTATAGGAGTTAGGAGTTTAGGGTTTAGGGTTCAGGGTTGAGAGTTGTAGGGTGTAGATGTTTGGGGTTTTAGGGTTCATCGTCGGGTTGAGGTTTGTCGGTATTCAAGGCTGTGGAGCTCCCTGGAACGAAAGAGCTTGCACAGGGTTTCAACTGTACTGGAACGCTTCTGCCTCCCGTAGTTTCAGGGTCCATGTATCATGTATCAGGCCGTGGAAGGGTTTAGGGTTTGGGGTTTAGGGAAGGGTTCCCAGTCTGGAAGCTTTAGGCCCTTGAGGGGCTTGCCCACCCTGCTCTCCACTGCTGAAAAGCACATCCCAAACCTCGTGCAACGCTTCGGCTGCAAGACCTGAATCCCAAACAAGGTTTCCGCCACTTAAGCCCTAGAGCCTAACTCTAAACCCAAAGTTCCAAAACCCTAAAAAACTGAGCACGTACATCTCCAGAACCTGCTAACATCTAGTTCTAGTAAAGCCCAGAAACCAGAGGCCCTGTGCCCTTATGGCAGACATGCGAAAATCAATGACTCCCAGCTAGTGTATGTATGTACACATGCTTACATATATGCATACATATACACGCATGTGTCACAAGAACCGTCATTTGCTTCATGAAAATCAAAATCACAGTCATACGCGGGGCCATTATAACCAGAGTCAGCATGCTAATTCATAGCCATGGTCGTGACCATATTAATGTAATCACAACCATCTTCATAATTACTATAGTCGTCCGAATGATGATTATGGCCTCAGTGGTTGTGATCGTCATAATGAACATACCAGGCATCACAATCAAGAGGAACATCATGATCTCTGAACAGTCATAATGACGATACCTATGCTCGTAGTAATAACGGTATTCTTAACACTCACAGTCATATCTACAATTAAAGTCATGCTCATAAAAACATAGCCAAAATCAGGTTCGAAACCATAAACGTACTCGGTATCACATTCATAGCAATGACATCGAACTGCATATGGCGAATCACAAAGATGATGTGATGAAATTCACGATCATTTAAAACCGTAATCCCTAAAACCTGCATTCCAGTGGCCCCTGGATGGCAGCCTACAGAACTTTTAATCTTGAAGCCTGCCTGCGCATCTTGTCCCGCTGCTTGCCGTCGGGTGCCACTGCCTCGAACATCGAGCTGGGAATGGAGAGTTAGTTGGCTTTCGGGCTTTGGTATTCAAGGCGGTTTTCGGGCATTAGGGTCGGTGGTATGGGGTGCATGATTTAGAGTAAACGGGGCTTGGAGATGGCTGGCGAATATTGTAGGGGCCTTCATAATTAGAGGGTTTTGGGGCTCCTTACTAAAAATATAGTACAACAGACCCTAAATCCCGTTTTAATTTTTGAGGCCCCTTTTTGTTTAAGGATTTTGGGGTGATTTGGCGGACTCTCTGACTGCCCTCTGAACCCCAGCCAGGTCTTCTGGAATCCAAATGCGGCATGGGTTTTTTGAGGCCGAGCCCTACATGAAACGATCCAGAGCTTCCATCCTACCCTAAACCCTAAACCCTAAACCCTAAACCCTAAACCCTAAACCCTAAACCCTACCATTCTGGCTTTTGGCTTTGGGGTTTTGGGGCCCATCAACCCCAAACCTGAACCCTAAAGCTCGGATTGTTGGCTTTAGGGCCTGCGGTTTCGGACGTAAGGTCAGGACTTTGGGTTTAAGGCTTAGTTGGGGTTTAGGGTTTAGGGCTTTGGGTTTAGGGTTTAGGGGGATTAGGACGGCTTGGGGTTTGAAGGTTGAGGTTTAAGCAGCATACCAGGTTCAGGCTGTCGCGCTTAAGGCTTGGGGCTGAGGGTTGAGGGCACCCTAAACCCTTAAACCCCTAAACCCTAAACCCTAAACCCCTAAACCCCTGAACCCTAAACCCTTAAATCCCTAAACCCCTAAACCCTAAACCCTAAACCGTGAGTAACCCGTTAATAATAAGGGTACCCTTTTTCCTACTATTTGGTTTTTAATAAGGGAACCGAAAAAGAAAAAGGGGCAAAAGGGTACTACTGGGGAACCTATAGTTAAGGGGTCAGGGCCCAGGGCTTGATCCGTACAGCCCGGAATGTTGGCGATGCACATCTTGGCCAAAAGAGCCCTAACATAGAGACCCTAATAATTAGAATAGGGTTTTGGGGGCCCATTATACTATGATTATAACAAGGAATAGGTAATTATTTAGTTCAGGGCTTTGGGGTTTACGCTTCCGAATTCAGGGTCTAGGGTACACCGCATGCAGTGGACCCTGTCCATGCAGCAGATCAAGCAACCAAACGCACGAAACAAGGCGATGCCTTATGTAGTTGAGGGGCTCTATGATAGATCCGCAGCATAGAACTCTAAAAAACTTTGTAGGATGAAAGGAACCCATGCAAGAACTGCTTCAAAGGCCAGGGTTCAGAGGTTTGGGGTCAGGGTCACTGACCAAGAACAGCATGAGTGATAATGTAGCGTAAATAATATAGGGGCCTTCATAGAATAGGGTTTTGGGGTGTATGATACTATAGTTATACTAATAAGGACCCCCCCCCAAAAAAAAAAAAAATACTGTAATCGTTTAGGCCCCTGCGTTAACGGCTTATGGCGCGAAGGCTTTGCCCACCCAGGACTTGAGCTGAGGTTCCGGCACGCCCTCAAGAACAAATATGTGTATAGGTCCAAGTATTAATATGGTAGCTACTTTGTAGTTATTTGGGCCCCAAAAGTATATACCGTACTATAACTTGGACCCTTTGGGTAGGTTGATAGGTAGGCAGGTAGTATGTAGGTATGTATGTATCCACATACATGTGCAGAAGCACGGCCTAAGCCCGAATTTGAAAGCACTGACTTGAAGGCTAACTGAAATCTTGCCGCTGTGGTAATCAAATTCTTTGCTTGTCCATCCACGCGAGGTTCCTGCACCTCCAAACCCTGCTTTTTGAACCAAAGGACGCAGAATCACCTTCTGCTGCATGAGCCGGTGGAAGGTGGAACCTCTAAAGCACTGAAACATGTAAACTCCCAAACCCTACGAACCAAGGCCTGAAAAGCCCACGAACCCCTGAAAGGCCTGTAAATCCCAAAAGTGTCAGACATTACGATCTTTCGGCCTTGACATGCCTCCAAACACCCGTCCCCAACCCCATAGTCTGGCACAAGCTATACCCAGAACCCCCCACACTCTAGACTGTCACAGCCAAAAGCGCTAACCCAAAACGTTGAGACGTATTCGAACACTCTGAGCTATCCGGGTTCCCGGACCACTGCCCGCCGCGCACGGTCCCGACGCTGCTGCCGGCTCTGTCGGCGACCTCACTTGAGGCTCCACCACACAGAGGCAATTTTCCAGAATTTCTCGGGATGGTTCAGGGTTTAGTTGAGGGTATCGAGTTTATGGTGTAGGGTTTCGGCTTCATGGAATGCTTACTAGTTTCGCAATTCGGCTCTAGATCAAGCTTTAAAGTCTTAAGGGCTTTGTACTGGATTTATGGATGTAGGAGAACCCATCGGATGCTAAAAATGTCCCATTAGTTGTCGATATAAGGTTTAGGGCAGAATGTACTTGGGCATACTGTTTGCGATTCTTGCGATGTTGTGATAAGCAGTCGTTCCTCTTACTACAACCACGAGCACATGACTACCTCCGCCCATTGTAACCCTCATTGCATAAGCCCCAAACCCGAGGTGATCCGTAGTCAACCGTAACTTAATCTGGCATCATCATAGCTGCTTAGTGAGACTGACCTCTTTAGGGTTTAGGATTTACCTATGGTCTCCATTGTGGTTCCTTCTTTGGGCTTAACCCATATTCTATTAAGGATCCCATAAGGTAAGCCCCAAAAGGAACTACAATGGAGACTATAGGTAGGTTTGAGGTTGGGGTTTAGGGTCGAGATTGGCACGCCCTTGGACATGGAAAGCCACGTGGAGAAGCCTAGCGCCCATCCCATCTTCAGTTTCCTCAGAAAAGCAACGAGCCTGCTTTAGGGGCCTAAATAGTTAGAACAAGCCTTTGCGGTCGATCATACTCTGATTATTAAAACACACCAAAACAGTGTTGGTAATTATTAGGGCCCCCCATATCAATCCCAAAGATGCTTGGGGCGGTGGCGGAGTGCCGTGGAGGATGGTTGATAGGCGAACGAACCTACTCTTCCCTTGTGTGACTGTCAGATCTTTGCGACATCGCCCCAGGTTATCACATCTCCGTTTCCCAGGACTGCTGCGAAGGCATAGCCCGAAGCTTGGATCTCTTTGACATCGATCAGCTGACATTGGACAGACTGGCTGGCACCACCGTGAGCGGCATGGCCCCAGGTAACCACAGATCCGTTACCAAGGATCGCAGCAAATGCACCTGCTGAAGCCTGGATTCGTTGCACATCCTTCAATTGATTCCGGACGTCCTGGCTGTTGCCACCGTACCCGGAATGGCCCCAAGTAACTACCGATCCATTTCGGCGGATCGCTGCGAAAGCATAGCCCGAAGATTGGATACAAACCACATCGTTGAGCTGAGCCTGGACTGTCCTGCTATTGCCACCGTGCCGAGAATGTCCCCAAGTCACCACAGACCCGTTACCAAGGATCGCGGCGAAAGCATAGCCCGAAGCCTGGATGTGCTTCACATCCTTCAGCTGATCTTGGACGGACCTGCTGTCGCCACCATGCCCTACATGACCCCACGTAACCACAGATCCGCTGCCAAGGATTGCAGCCCAAGCATAGCGAGTCTTCTGGACCTGCCGCACATCCCGCAGCTCAGCCCTGACTGCGCTGCTGTCACCTCCACGAAACCTGTGGCCCCAGGTCACTAAAGTTCCATTGCGGAGGATTGCTGCGAAAGCAGCCCCACCAGCCTGGATGCACCGCACATCCCTCAGCTGATCTTGAACGGCGCTGCTGTCGCCACCGCAATCAGCACGGCCCCAGGTCACCACAGATCCATCGCCAAGAACCGCAGCAAAAGCACCAAAAGAAGCGTGGAGGTTCCGCACATCATCTAACTGCTGCTGGACGGCCGAGCTGTCGCCACCACAGGTGGGATCTCCCCAAGTCACCACAAGACCTCTGTCGAGGATGGCCGCAAAAGCACGGCTGGAGGCTTGGATATGCCTCACCTTTTCGAGCTGCAGCTGCACGCGACTACTGTCTCCGCCGGTCTGCACATCGCCCCAGGTCACCACAGATCCGTTTCTGAGGACGGCTGCAAAAGAGCCTGAAGAACCGTGTAGTTGCTGCACGTCCCAGAGCTTGTCTTGAACACTTTCGCTGGTGCCACCACACATAGCATGGCCCCATGTAGCTACAGATCCATCGCCCAGAATTGCAGCGAAGGATCCTCCTCTCGGGCCCGTATCCTCGATCCAGCAACGCGACCAGCATGGCGACATTGACTTTAAAGCCGCAACCTGGACTTGCCTCACATGGAGGGATAGCGCATCACCGTCCTGCAATCTGGCCCTCTTGATGGTAGCTCCCCTATCCTTGGCTGACTTCTGAACCCTCCAAAAAGCTAAACTTTTAGTCTCCTTATTATGGTTTTATAGAAACCCAAAAAGCTAAAGTCCAAAGAGCCAACCAGAAGAACACCAAGGATCCAGGACCTCCCCCGAAGAGTTGAGGAGCCTCCCTTTGCCAACTCCTAGCACTCCCCCCGCGCGTTCGGTCAATCTGGCAACCGACTCCTCTTCCCGGACTTCCAGAGAAGTCGTCCGGCCGCTAAGCAGATGAACATCGACGGAGATGGGCATAACATAGGGGCCTTATTATAATGATTAGAATAGGGTTCCGGGGCCCATTATACTATAATTATAATAAGGTACCCCCAAAATGTAATAGTATAGGTACTTATTTAGGCCCCTATATTACACCTTGTGGACCGAATGGCTCAAGAAATCCTGTGACCGGTGCTGTATATAGCCGGCTACTGTTTGAACGTGCTCTGGCAATTTGTAACCCATAACCGTGTTGATGATCTTTCTTTTGCACGACATCGTCCGAAATCTGGTCAAGTAAGGCTTCGGTTTGCGGATGTCGAACCCCAAACCCAGACCACCGAAACCCTGTTTAGCCTGAAGGGTTTCCAGACCGGACAAACTGCATGCTATGGGCCCGTAACTCTTAGAACTCGAGAAGGCTCGGCATTTCTGAAAGGCCAAAGCACGACAGAAGCATAATTAGAACAGGGTTTTGGGGCCCATTATACTATAATTTTGTGAGGAACCCCCAAAATAGTATAGGTAATTTGTAAGGCCCAGCCAACTTCTCGGTGGAGTTGCGGGTTTAGCCAGTCTCGGGATTGCAAGCTCAGCGTTTAAGGCAGGGGATTGGGGTCTGTAGTGCAAGCGTCCCGGTAATCCGGCCATGAAAGCTCCTGTCAGCTCTACAGAATCCGAAAGCTGAATAATAGGGTTTAGGGTTTAGGGTTCAAGGTAATACAAAACACCTTCACACTGAAACCTCCTGAATCCCTGTGGAAGATTAAGCGCGAGTACAAACAAGCACACTGAACCTGTTGTTCAGACCAGAAGCGCTGCAAAGTCAAGTCGGCAGAGCGCTGTGCCGCGAGGCCTCAAACACAAGCTGAAATGAACTAAAGGTAGTGTTCAGAGTTTGGGGTGTAGGATATACCCTCAAGATCGACCCAAACCCTAAACTCCCAAAACCTGTGATAGAAGTACTGTCTGCTTAGACGTGGAATGCCGACATGGCAAACCCTAAACCCTAAACCCTAAATACTGAATCCCTAAGCCCCCCTAAACCCTAAACTCCTTCGAGCTGAACGAGAAACTTCAAGCGGTCCCCCAGGGTTTCTTGGCTTTGGGGCCTCGGGTCAGTCCCCAAACCAAAAACAATCCGCAACTTGAGTCCTAGATCCTTTCTCCACTGTCCCTACTTGGAGGGTTCAATGCAGCCATGACCGAAGAATCGCTGCACTTTATCACGAACTCGTTTTCAATGGGTGACATATACAACTGGCAGTAGGGCTGATAGCACCCAGAACATCCCTAAACCCTAAACCCTGAAACCTAAACCCTAAACCCCAAACCCTAAACCCCAAACCCTGAACCCTAAACCCTAAACCCACACTTCCAAAGCCTCCACACCATCACCTCGAACCCCGCAGCCTGAAACCCCCACGCCCCGGAGTCTTGAGTTGAGGGTTCTTCTGGGTTTGGGGTTTAGGGTTTAGGGCTTAGGGTTTAGGGGTTTAGGGTTTAGGGTTTAGGGTTTAGTTCTTCTGGGTTTGGGACTGGTTTTGTAAGCCTTATCGGTAAACATACATCAGCCACTGTGACGTGAGGTAAACTGCTCTATCCAGAAGTTCAGAGGGAGGAGCCCAAGCTTCATCTAAGTACCCTTGCCCCTAGACGAGATCTCCGAGAAACAGCCAGCCAAGGTTGCGGCGATGGTGTTCCTGCGCCCAGGCTTCACAGTCCTCCAGGTGCATGGTCAAGCTTAGTGTCTTGATAATGCAAGGCTTACGGATGTGGCACCGGCGGTTTTACAATTCACTTCAAGTGTTTAAGGTTTGGGGGGGTTACCTGAAGCCCAGCGAGGACTCAAGGTTCAGAGTCCGTCCCGAAACAACCGTCGTATGAGACGCATAGATATGTGTAGTGCTCTAAATGGGGGTCCCTTTTAGGGTCCTCTTTGTTGGGGTGCCGTACTATATTGGGGGCCAAAAATTGGACCCTAATTTAGAGAACTACCCTTTTAGATGGCCTAGGGGGTTGCCATTTCACTTATTTTGATCTGCAGTCGACCTGACTTGAATGGCTCCATATTGACCTTTGGGGTTGGTAGTTGAAGCCCGTATGTATCCTGAAAGTTGGCTAACAGCAGTACGCAACTTGAGAACGGCAATCACTGTATATCATGTTTATTCCAAACATGTCTTCCAAGTCACACAAACAGCACTTATGCTGCGATGTATATAGCCGATAAGAACGGTTAGGGATTCGGGGTTTCGGTCTGTGAACGGCGAATATCATACCGAAAGCCCTGAAACACCAACTGCTCAGCTGGAAACCTTAGACTCGAATCATCAAGCAGGCCCTACGCTCAAGCCTAAAACCCCCTTCTACCTGTTGCCCTGAGGGTCCATGTACCCAGATAGTATATACTTTGGCCTTAATGTAGTCCCTATATAGGTACTTTAGGACCGATGTATACACTATTTGGGCACATGGACCCTTAGGGTTGCGGCCCTTAGACGACGAAATCCTAAGACTGAGCAGGAAGTCCTCCAACCCACTGGGCATCAGTTGCTGGACCTCAGGTACAGGAACTTCAGATTCAGGGAGGAATGTGTCCAGGGCCTAACTAGGTTTCGATTTCAAGGCCCTCAAGAAAGTGTATAGCTAGGGCTCTATATCAGAATCGTGAATGCAATCGAAAATGCCGAGTGCATTCGCCAGTTGACGACTACAGGGTACAAAGCCAGTGTTCCACGCCCTCGGCTCTAAACGTATACACAGACCTTACTGCTACCTGCCTGCTGCGGGGTTCGAAATCAAAAGCAAACTGGGGCTTTCCAGCAACGTGCCTATACTTGGGGATTGAGGATACCTTACATATAGCCGAATTAGTGGCACGGAAGTGAAATCGCATACTTAGGCCCCGAACCACGATACCCTGGACCTGCAATCTAATATAGGAGCCTTAGTGATTAGAATAGGGTTTTGGGGCCCATTATACTACAACCAAAAAAAGGACCTGCACCCAAAAAAAAAAACAAAAACAATGTGATTATTAAGGCGCCTATATCAACTGTTGCTGCTGTTCTGGACCATTTGCTTGTACAATGACAGTAGTAGAGCTTAATTGGCTTACGGTGGAGGATTTCAGGGATATAGGTAGCTCTACAACTATGAACCTATACCTGCTACATAGCAATCTGGCTCTATAGCTATTTTATAATATATCGATATCGATATTCTGAATCTGAATTTGTATACATACCTGTTCATTTATAGGCACCTTCAAACTACATTTGCATAGCTGGGTGTGTACGGAAGAATGCAGCCCTAGCTGCCAGAAGGCTCTTCTCGTGGCGCCGTGCAAACGACAGAGCGGGACACAGCAAAGACCTTGGCATCAGAATGGCTTTAAAGGTTCAGGGTTTTAGGGTTTTAGGGTTTTAGGGGTTTAGGGTTTAGGGTTTAGGGTTTAGGGTTTAGGGTTCAGGGTTCAGGGTTTAAGGCTTAGGCGGGTTTATGGTCCGGGTTTTTTTGGGCTTAGGGTGTCTAGGGTTCAGCTTGGGGGCTTCGTCTGACTGCATTGACAACACTCCGAGCCAAAATCACTGATGGAACCTTCGCCCTCTGGAGATTTACACGTGAGCTTATCAAACAAACTGCGATGGCATCTTAAATCCTACCCCTGAAACCACAAACCCTGAAGGCTAAACCCTAAACCCTAACTACCCTGAACCACAAAACCTGAAGGCTTTGAGGATCAAACTCGCACTCCTGCTTTTGCGGTGACTCTTCGATAGTTCCGGCTCTCCAGTCGGCAGGTTGATGGGCTTTAAGCTTCAGGTCTCAGCTTTCTAAGGTTCCAGTATGCAGGTTTAGGGCTTCAGGTTTAGACTCCCTAGACCCTAAACCCTAAGCCCTAAATTAAAGGTTTAAGGTTTAGGGGTTTAGGGTTCAGGGTTTAGGGGTTTAGGGGTTCAGGGGTTGTGGTTTAGGATTGCGGTCAGGATGCCAGGGCCTCGGTGAAAAAGCTAAACCCTCAACCCACAATTAATAATAAATTTAGTGACTGATAGGTGACTATATATCACGTCTGCCAGATTGCCTTCCGGATGTCCTTGTCTGGAGAATTCTAACCCAATATCATAACCGCTGGTTATATAAATCGATAACAATTAAATTTTCTGCAACCAGACACATTTTTATAACAGCTTGCCATTCTCGAAAGTTAAGGCTGCCTGATGTGACCTTGAACCCAAGCTTCCGGCAACGTCTTCCCTGTGCCCGTAGGACTTTCCTTGGCAAGAGTCGCAGAATTCGGTTGAACATTTGGCTTTAGGATCTATATAGCTTTGAGGGTTCTGTGCGGGGCCGGGACGTCCAGCGCTCGAGCTGGCAATCAAGCGCATGCAGAGCGATCCTCAAGCAAGAGGAGCACCTCAGCTTGGATGAGGCTGTCAAACTCCTGCGTTGTCGGTCGGCTGCAAGAGCAGCAGCCCAAGCGACCATAGGGGTCACAAGGCACTGCACAACAAGATTGCGGTCTCCTGGACCGAGCACACCATTGCAAAAGCATGCGTCGCAGCTCGGCTCGTCCCATCGCAAGTGTAAGAAGCCTCCAATGCCCGTCGCCAAAAGCACAACAGACTCCCAGGAATCCAACCCTCGGGGTCCATGTATTTTATATATTATATACCTTGGCCCCAAAGTACCTATATAGGGACTACCTTAAGGCCAAAGTATATACTATTTGGGCACATGGGCCCTTTGGGCAAGCCCTACAAACCGTGGCAGATGCCGGGAGACCGGAGTCGCACATCCCAGAGGCTACGTCGCAAAGATGGCAGCTTAGCCTAAAGTTACCCCCCCACCAGGTACCTACTGAAAAGGGCCCTAGGGGCTCTAGTACCCTATATAGTAGGGCCTCAGGGGCTCTAGTACCCTATATAGTAGGGCCCTGGGGGCTCTAGCACCCTATATACTAGGTACCTGGCAGGTTAGGGTTAACGAAACCTGGCAAAAGAGTCCGAGGACTCGAGCCGATGGGTGGGGCAAAGCACCCTGTAGGCCCTAAACTCTGCGACCCTGCAGCCTAAGTTAGGGTGTGGGGCTTTCGGGATTTGGGTCGAGGACTGAGGGGCTTTAACCCGAAGCTTAGAAGTTAGGGAAGGGTTTAGGGTTTAGGGTTTAGGGTTTAGGGTTTAGGGTTTAGGGTTTAGGGTTTAGGGTTTAGGGTTTAGGGGGAATAGGGTCTGGGGACTGGCAAGTGTTTAGGGTTTCTTCTGAAAAGTTTTACATGAAAGCCCAGTGCCTTAAACCCCAAGCCCAGCAGCCCGGACGCCGACCATGAAACCAAGAAACAACAAACCTACAGCCGCAAGCATGAAACTTTAAAGCCCTATATGAAATTCGGATAAGTCCTAAACCTGAAAGTTAGGGCACAGAAGTCGGTTTAGGGTTTAAGGGTTCGTGGTAGGTTTGGGGTTTAGGGCTCAAGGGCTTAGGGTTACAGACGTCGCACACAAACTCGGCCACAAATGAGACACAGTAAAGCTTAACTCAAAGTCTTATTGAGCTCTATGCTTCACATCCTTAACCATTAGCCGAACACACCATCCCTGCGTAAACCCTAATTACAACAAACCTGCAACATACCCTAAAGCAAAACGTATAACAATACATAAAACAAAACTCTGACAGGAGTCGAGAATGCCCATTGAGCCAGCTTCCAAGATCTCCATCACGGCCGCCATGAATTGTAGCTGAGACGGGTATGGCCTCAGATCAGATTCGAGTCAGATCAGAAGCATAAATGCAGAATTCCTATACCTTTCTGGGTCCCCAATATAGTACGGCACCCTTATAAAAGGAACCTTAAAGGGATCCTAATTTGGAGAACTCCCCTTCTGGAGGTTATACGTAGGGTCTAATGGCGGGCTTTGGGTCCACAGGGATTCCGGGTTTAAGGCTGCGGTTCTACACTCGTTTTTGCTTGGAGAGTGGGGGATTTCGCGGGTTTAGAGTTCAGGGCCGTAAGGGCTGAGGGTCCAGAAAAGTACGGCCTCAAAGCTTTTGGAAAGCTTGAAATTTGAGGCCTTGGGATTCAGGGCTAAACCCTAAACCCTAAAAACCCTAAACCCTAAACCCCCCTAAACCCTAAACCCTAAACCCTATGGTTCCGGGCCGACAGGATCACGGACTAAGGACCTTACGGTTTGGGGGTGAAACGGTTGCGGAGGGTTTAGGGTTTCGGGTTTCGGGTGTCATGCCTTTGGGTTCAGGGTTTAGGGTTTAGGGTTTAAGGAGGGTTTAGGGTTTCGGGTTTCGGGTGTCATGCCTTTGGGTTCAGGGTTGACGGCCCAAAGCCAGAAAGTTGCCACCAAAGTAACTGCTAAAACCGATTGGAGAATCAGAAGCAAGTGGGCTGCACTAGGTTCAAAGATATTCAACCAGAAGTGCCACCTCCCTAAACCCTGAACAACCCTAAACC